GATTGATTGATTGACTCCTAGGTGTCTATAGACCGCACTTTGAAAACTGCTCCTCTAGGGAACATAATACTGGCTTTAGGTTCTGAAGACCTGGGTTCAAATCACTGCTTTGCTGCTTAATTGAGTGATCTTGGGCAAATAATTTATTCTCTTTAGTCTTTAGTTTCCTATCAGTAAAATAAATGCATTGGACTGAGTGACCTCTAGGGTCCCTTCTAGTCTTTACTGCATGATCCTATGATCTTCAACTGCAGTGGTGAAGACCTTCCAGTCTTTACTTAGTGATGTTTCTATTTATTTAATCTCTCTAATTGTAGTGAAATTCTACCTATAATTAATAATAAAAATTATTTTGATTAAGAAAACAGAGAGATGAGAATCTCCACATGCTCCCATTTACAGACGGCATTACATTGCATCAAGCCTCTTAATACTACAAGGCCTTAATGAAATGCATAACCACTTAAAATAGGTTGACCTAAAAATCCACACAGAAAACAACAGCAAATGGATGGAGAATGCCTATTGTCTGGATTATCAGGAGGATTGATGGGCAGCCCATTGAGTTAGTCTATCAGTATATATATCTTGGAAAGACACTTTAGATGTGCAATGAGCTGATCTGGATTGAATAGAAAGAAGACAGAAGTCTGGATTGCATTTGCCAAGCACTGCACACAGTGCTTTTAATGTCAAGCCATTCTGCAACTCAAAAACCCATATTTTAAAATAACAATGTTCATTTTGTGGTGCTATATATATGGATCACAAATACCTCAATCTTTGAAGAATCAAAATTGCAAGTGACCCAAAGTAATGGAAATTCAGGGAGAAACTTGGTATATTTAAATAGGCAAAATATGGCCAATAACAGATTATTTATAAGAAATGTTATAAAATACATTGTCCAGAAAATATGTGATTGGAAAAGGGGATGGGCTGCTCATATGGCAAGAGCAAATAATTAATGCCAGATGGACAACCTGAGTGGCACACTGGTAGGTGGGCAATGTTAATATTCAGTTCAACAAACACTTGCTAAGCTTCTACTTTAAGGTTTTGTATTAGCTGAAAGAAAATCAAGGACAAAAACAACAAAAAAACAATCCTGCTTCTGAGATCTACAGTGTAAATTCTACCAGAGGATTCAACATGCAAACTGATTAGTACAGTCAAGATTTTTGAGGAGAGGGAGAGCACTAACAATGAGGGGTTCAGCAAGGGCTTTTCAATAGGAGGTGGCCCCTGACCTAAACCTTGAAGATTCTCTCTTTTTTTTTTTCCCTAAGATTCTTTAACATTTTTAAATGTAAAGGGTGTGTTTAGGAGTTTTTCTTAAACAGGCTGATAATAGACTATAAAGGGGAGTTATCCCAACAGCCTCACTAAGGATTGTGAAAAGGTTCCCTAAACAATTCTGATAACATATGGAGTATGGCCCATTGTTAGTTGCTGATCATTGGATGAAGGCAACTGATGGGACAATGGGAGCTTCTAGCAGTGGGAGCTTTGCTGGTTAAACGATCAGCCACATCCCTGGTGATGTTTAGAATGCAAGGGCACCCTCTGAAGAGGATATTCAATCTTTACCAATTCCCTTATGCTCTTTGGAGACAACAGCAAGGAAGAAAATGATTTTTTTCTCCTTACCCCCATTGGCAATGGCTAGCAGAAGTACATGACTGTAGACTTGTGCTTGTTTATAGCCTGAGAGGAGTTGGAGCAAGGTGAGCAAGAGAATACATGGTTGGAGAGTCCAGCTGAGTCAAGGTGGTGAGAGAACTTGACAATCTTCTATTTGGAGCTGGAATCCTACTTAGGAGATGTCAGGCCCCAGAGCTGAGGATCCTGCTGGTCTTCGGGTATGGTTCTACTTCTTTCTGAAAGCACCTAACAGTACTGTAGGTCAGCTGAACCCTTAGCTAGAGAGGGTAGAGATCATAATCTAAGCAGAAACAGGTTCAGGAGACCCAGTGGAGTTTCATATGAGTAAGAGGACAACATGAGAACTCAATGGGGCCAGAAACGTAAGTTGTCTTGGCCACACATGTCCCATCCCTTTGTGGACGCTATGGATGTTCACTTTTCCTATTAATGCGGTGTGCCTTAGGTTTATAGGGGAGATATTTTGTTTCTTACTGTGCCATTTCAGTAAATGCCAAGGTTCAAGCTCATTGTGTTCTCTGGCAGATTAGAGAAAAGGTGAGGGTTCATAATCTATGTATAATTTTAGTACTGTGGACACATAGAGTGCTTGAACCTGGGATAGTTGTCTTCTGGGGATACAATCTATGTGTGTATGTGTGTGTGTGTGTGTGTGTGTGTGGCATCACAGTAGTGAGTCACATAAATCTGATACATTGTTTTGACATAGTAAACATACCTTTTTCAACAAATACCCACATAAACCCTATTAATATAAATTAAGTCTGGAGATTCTTAGAAGACAAAGAGGAAGCCCTGCAGTATTTGTGGAAGGACACAGAAGAGAAACACTGATTAAAGAATGATTTTTTTTTATTCAAACTGTTGGAGAGAATATCCACCTCAATAATTTTATTATCATGAGTCCACTAAATCAAGCATTTAGATACTATTTGGCTTGACACTGGTCGAGATACTGGGGAGGATTCAAAGACAAAAAATTGGGGAAAAATATCTTTCAGATATAGGATTATAGATTTTGTAATGGGAATTTATTTCCTTTTATTAATTTTTGTTGTTGGGGTTCAAAGCTATTCCTTCTGCAACTTTTGTTCAACTGAAAGCCCGTCTTCTGTAAATATTAACCTCACTTGACCAAAACCTGTCCTATGGGATCTGGAAATTTATTTAAAGCCTTAAACATTCCTTAGATAAGAAGAATCTCCACTGTCCTTAATTCCTTGGCAATATATAAATCTCTCCCCTATTTATGAACCCTCTAAATGTAGTTTAATTTGTAACTGACTTAGTTTACCTATAGAGTCTAAGCAGGTATGTTATGAGATTATGACTTTAAGTTTGTTCAACTTTATATTATAAATCTATCTTTTCTTTAACTTTTATGGCCTAAGAGAAATGTACTAGATTATAATATGTACAAGAATTATTTGTGTCATGGGGCAGCTAGGTGGTGCAGTGGATAGAGCACTGGCCCTGAAGTCAGTAGGACGTGAGTTCAAATCTGGCCCCATACCAAACACTTGACACTTACTAGTTGTGTGACCCTGGGCAAGTCACTTAACTCCAATTGCCTAAAAAAAAAATTATTTATGTCACTCTGACATAATTTTGCTATGAGACCTTCTTAGAATCCTAATGGTTGTTGAGATTTTTTTTGCCTGAGATATGAATTTGTGCTTGAGCATAATAATAAAACTTAGGTTTTTCTCACCTCTATAATTTCTCCATTGAGGTAGTTAAATTTTGGCAGCCATTAGGCACCACCATCTACTCAGAAAGGAGATATTTATACCGTAACAGTTTAGAGCTGGAAGAGACCTGCGGTCAACAACAACCTCTTCATTTTACAGTTGTAGAAACTCAGCCCCAGAGAAGTTAAATGACTTGCCCAGCATTACTTAAAATAGGACTCACTGTAGTGCCTTTTTTTTTTTTGAGCCCATTAAAATGAATTCTTCAATCTGGGGGCATAATTGTCCATTACTAGCCTTTCATCTTTCCTCAATCATTTAAAAGACATGTAATATGCTCAAATACAAGAAAACATCACTAATTAGGTTCCTCTTGATTCAGAGTTTGTGATAATTCTGATAGCTCAGTATTCATGATTCTTTTTGCCTAGAAACTTTGTCAGAAGCTTAATTTAGAAATTTTACTGTGTGGACAGGAGGCTTTTTGTGATTTTAAAATTTACTTTATTTTTACCCTTTATTCCCGTTTATACTTTGTTTAGAATATGCACTGCACATAATATTACATTCATGCCTTTAACACACTCTGGCCTTTTCACTAATGTCCTTTACAATGCCTCTGAAGCTTCCTCATCCCTGGACTTCTCACACTGGAAGGGCCCTCCATCCCAGCCAACCTCTTCTTCTGACTGGCTGGTTCCTCCCAGAATTCTCATTTTAAAGAAATCTCCCAGGTCAGACATGTCTTCCTTCCTCTCCAGAATGTTGACTTTGCCACCATTTCCCCCTCACCCCAACCTGCTCCCTTTTATGTGTTTACCCCATTAGAGTGTAAGCTCTTAGGGCAGGCACTGTCTTTCTGCTTTTCTTTGTATTTCAAGTACTGGCACATCATAAAAGTTTAATATATACTTGTCAATTTGGATGCTGTTCTTTCCTTTAATCTTCCTCTTAGTGTTTTCATTACTGTATTATTAAAATGACAAATTAGAACTATAAAAATAAACTAATAAACTAAAATCTAAAAACAATACTTTGAATTCAAATTTAAGTTTCCCACTTGTTATGCTCATAATATTTACTACCAGGAGAAACGCTCCCTGACTCCTGCCTAAAATAAGAGCTAGTACTGCGTGTTTTTGTTCTTGTTTGTTTGTTTTTTTGCCAGGCAATCGGGGTTAAGTGACTTGGCCAGGGTCACAGAGCTAGATGCGTGTTATCTTTTGAACCTGCTGGAATAATTTCTGATTTGCCACGAGTTCCCCACTTTTCAACGCCTTTAAATCCACTGGTTCCTCCTCCTCTCCCTCCCCTAACAGAAGACCATGTGCTTGGGGGGCGGGGTGTGTGTGTGTGTGTGTGTGTGTGTGTGTGTGTGTGTGTCTGTCTGTCTGTCTGTCTGTTTCCGTCCACACTCCAGGATGTCCGACGTCATGCCTGTTCAAAATTCTTGGACAACAACTCCCATCTCCGTTGTATATTAGCATCCCCACCACCTCATTCAGGAAGAGGTCAAGGAGGTGGCCAGACCCCTAGCGGCCGGCAAGGTCGTTTTCAGAGTCCGGGGAAATGAACGGAGAATCAGCCATTAATATCAGGCAGCTCGAAGGGCAGCCCTTCGCCGTCCCTGGAGCGCCGAGGGGTCAGCGAGGACCCCTGCGACGGCAGCGCCGACGGACTCGTGGGTGTGAAAAGCGGGAGTCGGGGCGCAAGGCTTTTTTATAGTTGCCTTAGAAACGAGACTTCTTTCTCTCCGCTCTTGGGCCCTCCCGGAACCAGTGTCACCCTGTGCCTGCAGCAGCATGTCCGTGAGCGAGATCTTCATCGAACTGCAGGGATTCCTGGCCGCTGAGCAGGACATCCGAGAGGCGAGGCTTTGCCCGGCTGCCCCCCCACCCTCCTTCCCCACCCCTCCTCTGGCTAGGCCCTGGGCCGCAGGCCTCCCCTCCCCTAGGTTCCCCTAGGTTGCCCTAGCTGCCCTCCGCACCCGGGCCCCAGGCCTCGCAGGCCTGGGCTGCTTCCCAGCTCCCTCCGCCGCTTGCTTTTCCTTTCTGCCTGAGGAAATTTCCGGCCAGCTTTGCACCTCCTCCAGGAAGTATTCATAGACTTAGTTACTCCAACTTCTTTACCCAGAACGTCCAGTTGTTTACAGAACCTTAAACTTGCACCTGCAGCATCGTGGCTGAGAGCATAAGCTTGGAGATGGAAGAGTTTATATTTCATTTAGTCCAGTCTAACAATTTTGCAGACGGATAAATTGAGGCCCAGAAAGGGGATGTCACTTGCCCAAGGTTCCGCTAGTAGTAAATACAGCCATTATTCAAACCTACATCCTTTGACTCCAAACCCATTGCTCTTTGTTCTGCTCCTCGGGTGATAAACTCTGGAAGCAGAAAAGGGTGTTGTAGTGGACATTGGGGTTGGGGGGCGGGGTTGGCAAAGAAAGGGCCAAAGTCCAGTTTGATTCCCAGTCATTTAAATAGTCTTGAGGCCCTGGAGATTTAAATCTTTGTAGTCAGCGTCCCTGGAATTAGTTGTCAAGGATTTACAAAATGCAGAAAGGATGTGGACCCAGCCTCTGATTTGAGTCAAATCTGTAGAATCGTCTTTTCCTTCTGTAATGCTCCTTCCCTCCCAACCCGATTTAATTTTATTTTCTAAATTTTTGCTTATTGATATAAATGGGGTTATTAAAGTTTTGAGTATTTTTTGTGGTTTTGGTGGTGTTATGAATAAAAAATGCAGAAAAGTGGACTTTTTAAATTTGTGAGCTATACAGCTTTGAATGTGCACTTTATTTGGTATGTGGGAACAAGTGATAATGACTTCAACTGTGCATTTTTTTTCAGTTGAATGTTAATCAGGTGGGTGGTATTTTTAGTGTAATTTTGAGTGGGAAGTGTGACAAGCTAAAGCTTTACACATTTAAGGTTATGGTGTTAGAGATTATATTGAATTTATTTCTTAATTTAATTTTTCATTCTCCTCTCCTAGGAAATCCGGAAAGTTGTGCAGAGTTTAGAGCAGACAGCCCGAGAAATTTTAACTCTGCTTCAAGGAGTTCATCAAGGTTCTGGATTTCAGGACAGTGAGTTCATATTTGTTTTGATATTGATATTAGAGAGATCATCATTTCTACAGTATATGCATCTCCAGCCAATGATTGATGTTCACACATTGTATACATATATGGCCTTGTCTTTTCCATTTAAAATATTTATTTTGTTTTTAATGATATTGTTTATGAACTGGGGGAGTGAGTTGCTATTTATTTTTTAGGTTCACTGAATCCTAAGATTGGTTTGTATCCTTAAGTTACTTCCTATATCTGTATTATATAATTTGTTATTTAAAGTACTGTGATGAAATTCCACTAAATGTGTGGCTGTGGCATTTGAGGATTATAATTTGGTTATTATGTTTTATAGTGTCGCTAGTTGAATATATTGTGGTTTGCATTTATAAACTAGAAGTAGTAAGTAGTGCTTCTAATTCAAGGGTTTTTCAATCAGCTCCACAAATTAGAAGCAGATTTGTGTCAAAGTCAAACTGAGGATACTGATGCATACATAGCATGAGCCTACATGGTTGAAGTGTAGTTTCATTAGATGCTACTGTAATACTTTTTATTGCATTTGTCAATGACATTGGTAACCACTGGCACATTAGAGGAAGGGGGTTGGTTAACCAGACCAATATAATGTGAAAAAAAGATGTCAGTAATCATGCGGGAACCAAAGGCAGTCTTCGTTACTAAGAGCTCACTAAGATGATGAAAAATAATATCAAAAGGCAATTTGCATCCTTCTGAGGAAAACTCTTGTCTCTTCATCAAATCTTTTTCTCAAGCTTCATCTCCCATCTTTTTTTTTTTAATTAGGACTTACTTTTTTTTTGTAATTAGGACTTACATTAGTGTTTTCCATGTATGTTTCTAAATTGGTTAGTCACTGTCACTTTGAAAGTCAAGGTTATCATTTGCAGACTCAGTTGAGGAAGCAGAAATATGTTACAATGGTTCTGAAGCAAAAAATATGTTGCTTTGTTTCCAGGTACTTTACATATGGAGACAATATTAGGCTAGAACCTTATGTGATATTCAGTCTTGCCTTCATTTCTTAATTTTGATCATCTTTTTATGATCAGTTCCAAAGAAATGTCTGAAAGCTCGAGAACATTTTGACACAGTAAAAACACAGCTAACATCTCTGAAGACCAAGTTCCCCGCTGAACAGTACTACAGGTTTGTGAGAAAATTAATGTTTTGTAGAAAGCCAAAGTAGAAGAGAATGTCTCATTGACATTGTTAGCAAGCCATACACGAGACTCTGCACACACTGTGCTGAGTAGTCAGGTGAGGGTTAAATGGGACCATGGGACCTACTGTATTTGAAGCTGAAAGTTTTTAAGAAATGAAATATTGAAGTCCTTAACTTAAAAGACTGTTATTTTGTGCCAGAGCCTGGTGACATTTAGCCAAAATTTTAGAATTAAGCTGTTTCAGTTCCCATTAACTTCTAAGAAAGACAAATCACAGAATTTTAGAACAATGAGGGACCTTTGGATAATCTAGTTGAGACTCATTTTTCAGGTAAGGAAAGTTGAGAACCAGAGAAATTAGTTTACATGTCTGAATTTGCAAGGCACAGGTATGATAGCTGGGACTAGAGCCCAGTTGCCTAAACTTCCAGGCATATATTAATTTAGCAGGCATTTCTAATTTGGGTACAATAATGTTGATCAAGAAGATACTTTTCGGTGGGAACTGAATTTTTCTAATCATCCAATTTAAGTTTTAACTTAGGTGCTTATTTCATTGTAGATTTCATGAGCATTGGCGGTTTGTGTTGCAACGCTTGGTCTTCCTGGCGGCATTTGTTGTGTATTTGGAAACAGAAACACTTGTGACCCGAGAAGCAGTTACAGAAATACTTGGCAGTAAGTTTGTTCTTAAGTTAATGATGATCTATGTAATTTTGGATGACAGTATCTTTTTTTTTTTTTTTAAATGTATTCAAGAAAGGACATGTTAGTAATATTTATTTTTGAGGAAGAAGAAAAAGTTGGACATGACCTAACAGCTTGAGAAGAACTAGTAGTGAATAAGGTTGTGAAAAGTTTTAGGAAACTAAAATAATTTGTCATGTCCATAGCTAACTTGAGACGCATTTAAAAAAATTTAATTTTTTTCAGTTAACAAAAATCTATTATGTCTCCCCACCTTCTTCTATTGGGGAAAAAAAAGGAAAAAAAAAAAACTCTTGTAATGAGTATGCATAGTCAAGTAAAACGAATTCCCTTATTGGTCACGTCCCAAAAAGTTGTGTCTCATTCTGTACCTGAGTCCATCACATCTTGGTCCATCACATGTTTCATCATGAGTTTTCTGGAATTGTGGTGGGTAATTGTGTTGATCAGAATTCTTATGTCTTTTGAAGTTGTTTATCTTTACAATATTGTTATTGTTTAAAGTATTCTTCTGGTTCTGTTCACTTCACTCTGCGTCAGTTCATATAAGTCTTCCCAGGTTTCTTTTAAACTATCCCTTTCATAATTTCTTATGCCAAAATAATACTCCATTACAATCATGTATCATAATTTGTTCATTTATTCTCCAGTTAATGAGTACCCTCTGAGAGGGACAATCTGAATCTGCTTTTATAGTGGAACCAAGTTATATTCAGAGCATAACCTTACTTTACTGTGACATTTTTAGTTGAACCAGATCGAGAAAGAGGATTTCATTTGGACATTGAAGACTATCTCTCTGGAGTGCTAATTCTTGCTAGTGAACTGGTAAGAGACCACTAATTTGTCTTTTTAAAAAAATCTGCATGTTTACCTATCAAAGGATAAAGTCAGTGAATAGTTAATGTTATTAGCATATCTCTTAAGCCTCCTGTCATCCAACAAATGTTTATGGAACATGTACATTTCCACAGCCGTCAGTGAATAATTATTGAGTGCTGATTGTGTGCCAAGCAGTATGCCAGTTGTTTTCTGAGATACATGCAATATATCCATGCCCTCAAGTTGTATATAATCTATTGGATGAACATGAAAAGTTAACTAACCACAAGGTGGTATATAAGTGCCAAAAGAGTATATAGTGCAGAAAATATTCTAAGATGTGGTTTCCTCTCTTAAGATACAGTCTGATCATGGGGAAAAGAATAAATGTATGAAATATTGTTGCAAGATAGAATTTTATCAAATGTACCTTATATGGTAAAGACTATAAATGTGATAAGAGTTCAAAAAAGAGAATGGAGTTAAAACTGGAGTCATTGGGAAGATTTCTTGTAGAAGGAGGATCTTTAGCAAGACATAGTAATATGGGTTTGAAGAGGATTTGTTTCAAGACAATATTACATTTTTGATGTTGGGTTCCTAAAATCATCTTTCTATTGCTTTTGTATGACTGGCATAGTGTTAATAACAACTCCTATTTATATAGTATTTTAATGTTTATAACATTTCTTTTTGTTAGGTAGTGAAATTATATTTATTCCCATCATACTGGTGGGGAAACTGGAGCTTAGAGAAGTTATGACTAGCTCAGGGTCACATAGCTGGTAAATATTAAAGGTCAGACTTGATAGTTTTCATGACTGTCATTTTGCCATAGCAATATGTATTTCATTATGAACTACTTAGAAGACTCTACTAGATTTGTGAAAACAGCTGAACCTCTGAGGTCTTTATTAATTTTCATTTGTCTTGTACAGTAGTATAAATGAGTTTTAATCAGTAATCCTGGTACACACATAATTCAGTATACTTTCTTGCAAGAGAGTTTAGGTCTAATTGGAGAAATCTTAGAAGGTGTTTAATTATAATAAACTTTAGCAAGTCTTAAGTAGGCTGAAATGATTTTATTTTCGAATGCTTTATTTCAATTGAGAATCTGTACTAACTGTATTAACAGTATATAGAGGGAGGTGGAATTTGATTAGAAATACCAAGAGCCCCGCATGCCTCCCCTTTTTTTTGTAGTTGTCTTTTTTTTTTTTTAGGTGTAGGCAATGGGGTTAAGTGACTTGCCCAGGGTCAGACAGCTAGTAAGTGTTATGTGTCTGATGCTGGATTTGAACTCAGGTCCTCCTGAATCTAGGGCCAGTACTCTATCCACTGCGCCACCTAGCTGCCCCTGTAGTTGTCTTTCAGATCAAGTAGGGCTAAAAGTTGACTTTTTAATAATGTATTACTTTTTTTTTCCCCTTCTGCATCTAGTCTCGTCTGTCAGTTAACAGTGTCACTGCTGGGGACTATGCCCGTCCTCTTCACATCTCTACTTTCATCAATGAGCTAGATTCTGGCTTCCGACTTCTCAACTTAAAAAATGATTCACTGAGAAAACGCTATGATGGCCTAAAGTATGATGTGAAAAAAGTAGAAGAAGTGGTCTACGACTTGTCAATCCGAGGTTTCAACAAGGAAGCAGCAGCAGCTTGTACAGAGAAATAGATTTTCCTTGTTGTTGGCCTTGTTTACCTCCAGTGGTTGCCAGTGAGGGGTGGGAGCTTTAGTATCCCTCTCCTGTGGTAGTTTAGAGAATGCAAATGCTAAAAACTTCTCTTTATTTTCTTACCAGTTGCATGGTGCAGGTATAAGAAATGAGACACTTTTTTTTTTTTAAGGAAAAAAAGCCTTCAGAAGGACAGAATTCCCTTTGTTGTTTGCAGTGAACTTATTCTATAATTCACTATATTTCAGTTCTGCCAACAGTAATAACTACTAACTTCTTAGTAAAAATAGTTCTCATGTTAATCCTGACTTCCTTGACATAATGTGTCGAGTGTTTGGTGTCTTGTATATTTTTCCGTCTGATAATTCCTATTCTTTACATATCCCAAAAGGCAGATCAATCATGCCTGGATCTGGCATGAACTTATAAATAGGCAATTAAAAAGAATTTTTGTAAAATTGAAAAAATATATAAAACATTCTTTCTGGTTAAATAATGCTTTTGTTAATTCAAGTCCTGTGAATGAATTGAGTGTCAAAAGTTTTATATGGGAGGCATTTCTTAAGTATTCTTAATAATATTTGTAAAAATAAGATTTGATTTGATAATCAAGCTAAAAATTATTTTGGGAGGTGGAATGTCTACTTGGACTTAAGTTTTTGGTGGTTTTTTTTTTTTACCCTCTTTACAGGATGATATTATCAGGCTCAGACAAAAGTTTAGTGTTTAAAAACCTTTGCTTTTTGATGTTGCCAGAATGATTCATTTCCGTAATTATTACCATAAAAACTTTCTACACTTAGGTTATGGTCACATGCTTCATGTGTTGTATGCCTAGATCACAAACCACATTTCTAGAAGCCAGCTAAATAGTTTGGACTGGTAGGATGCAACCATCAATATGAGTTATTTTTGCAGAAATTTCCTGCATACTATTTATGCTGTATTAAATGAGAATTCAGCAGTTTGTACCTTGTGTAAAAGAAAGGTATTACCCTTAATAATTATACTTGAGAGGTATGACAAATCTCAAATTGAACGTCAGTGGTTTCCTAAGTACCAGTATTAGCCTTTAGATTTATTAATTTTGGTATATTATTTTAACTTCAGCTTTCTTTTTTCCATCTGCCAAGCAGAATTAAGAATACTCTCCATCTGTTATTCATAGATGTAATGAATGTTATTGAGACTGTAATTACACTGTTTAGAGCTAATTGAAGGAAAGTTGCCACTCTTTACACTTGTAATACAAAGTAGTTACTAGCCTTGAGGCTGAATACTAGTCATTCTGTTTGTAACATAGAATATACATGATCATAATTTAAGGATTTTGGCCTTTAAGTTAAGAAAAATAGAAACAGTGACACAAGTTACTACAGTGATTAATTTATAAAGTATTAACAGCACATGTAAATTAATTTACAGACTATTGACAGCTGTAAATTTTAAGAGGTAATCAATGAGAAACATTTTTTGAGAACTCTTTTTAAAGAGTAGATTGTGGAAAGGTCTCTTTTTAAGAGCTTGGCCACTGAAAGGTACTCAGGCAGATGAAGCAAAGCATTTAAAAATAATATCACTATTTGACTTGAAAAGAAAAGACTTTCCACTTAGATGATCTAAAGAAGATAGGGATTTGATGTCAAGTATTTTTTTTTCTAAGTGTTGATTCTGCTTAAAAATGTCAGAAGTTCTATGGGAAAGGCATAGATTATGATTCCAAGTGGAAGAATGCATTCAGATGGGAGAAGAGGGATGGGTTGATTTTGAATGTGTGTTTTGTTTATTTGTTTTAGCTGTATTGTTGCTGTCATATAAGAAATAAAATTTGTTTTTGTTATTTGTAGTGGAAATCAGTAATACGATATGAGAACACCTTATATAGATAGAAACTTGCTTTCTATATATTGGGGCTATAGAAGGATAAGTTTTGAATGTGTACACATCAAATATGCTATGAAAGATACAGCACTGGTCATAAGACAAAATAACATGCTCAAAGGGTCTTTAATGTAAAGGACAGATGATTCCTATGTGTTATACTTTAGCCTGGGAATCAAAACTTCCATTATGAGATGAAGAGAAACTACAATTATGATTTTAACATGACAAAGGTCGGGTCAGCCGTTTAGAATTCAAGGCAGTGGGGTGGGAAGAGGAGAGAGGAATTGTAGCTTGTCAGATTTTGAAGGGACCAAAAGTCCATTTTATTGTCTTGGTGTTAAAAAAATGAGGGCAGAGGATGAAAGGACCATTATTTGTTTTAGAATGAACAGCTTCTATATACACTTCAGCTTCCATGGAAATGTAGTAAATGGTGGAATAAATACACTTTAGGCATAGGCCTGCCAGAAACATTTTTTCTGAATTTGTCATTCTAATGAAAGCATTGTTATGCTTTAAAAGATGTCTAAACTGGCCAAGGTCCCCTCATGTCTTTGGATGTGTCTCTAACACAAGATGTTTTGATGTAGCATTTGTAAGAATATTGAACAAGGAAATTTTCACAATATGATTACACAGTTTATGGTTACATTCTGTTTTATCTAATAGACCCTTAATAGTCACTTAGTCTTTCAGAAATGCTCAGGGAGTCATTCTCAAAACCACCCAATCCATCTTGGACCACTACCATCAAAGCTTCTCCAACCTAATTACAGGTGTGACCTGAAGTAACCAAAAGATAGCCTCTTGATAATACCCTAATTCTTTTAGGAAATGGGAAAGTGGGATACTATCTTCAGGTGGGTCATTCTGAATCCCTTAAGGGGATGGGAAAGGCAACAAACACTAAGTATTTCTCATCCAAGTCTAGTTACCAGTTATAATCTATTTTCCAGGGCCTTGACTTTTTTACATACTTTTTTAAAAGAAAGGTTTGACTAGAGGTCTGTGATCTTATTTTTAAAAGTATTTTGGAAACAATTTAAATATAATTTGTTTCTTTTGTAATCTTATGTATTTTATGTATTTAAAAGTATTCCAAAAAAGGGGTTTATAGGCTTCACCAGACTGCCAGAGGGGTCAGTGACACAAAAAGACTTGCTCAAGGTCTAAGAGAAAGGGGGTGGGGGGGAGGAGAATTTAGAAGAGGACATTTCCTGAGAAGATTGATTACATGTTGATGAAAGCTTTTTTTCTTTCAGGTAAGTCTGGAAAATATTTTAAACTATAGAAATATTTATTTCTTAATATTTCCTGTTGAACTGAAAAGGGTGTTTAATAGAACCTGGAAAAACCAAGGCTTTGTTATTCCCCCCTCAATTGAATATTACTGGAGAACCTATTCCAGTCCACAGCTTTAATTTCTATTTCTTTTCTGGACACCGAGGGTGGAATGAAAGAAACAGATAAAAGAAATTTCAAAGAATCTGCAGGGCCTGGAGAATCCACAGGACTTGAAGACTGGATGTAAGATGATTAAGAGGACTCCAAGGTGACTAGTGTGAGAATTACAAGAGTGATACTGTTATCAGCATAGGGAAGGCGGGAAGATGTTCCGGTTTTGGTGGTGTGGGCAGTGATTTTGATTTGGGACATCTTTGGTTTGGGAATGTTCAAGAGGAAGTAAAGGATTGGAGTTTATGAAAAAAGTTAAAGATTAGGAATAAAGTGAAAAGATAAAAATATTACCTCTAATTTCTACTGTATAGATTACTATTATATTCTAAAATGTTATTGATTTCATACTGTATTGATTTTTTTTTTTTTTAGTAATTGAGTCTGCATCAGCCTAAATCCACCTTTCTATGTCCTTGAGTTGAGCTCAGGAATTTAACTTTTCCTTTGAGTTAGCTTAAAGTTAGTTTAAAAGAAAAGTTGTTATCTCTCATACCAGTACCCTCTGGGATACTTCCTGGATATATATTTGTTAAGCCCAACAAATCAACTTCTTACCATTCCCAAAAGATGTGTTGTCCGTTCCTGCTTGTCGAGTTTTAAAAAATATGTATATATATTTTTAAATAGTGTTTTTTTTCAATTATATGTAAAGATAATTTTAAACATTCATTTTCACAAAATTTTGAGTTCTAAACTTTTCTGTCCTCTTAAATGCTAAGCAATTTGATATAGATTATATATGTGCAATCATGTAAATCATATTTCTTTGTTAGTCATGTGAAAGAAGAAACAGATCAAAAGGAAAAAAACATGAAAAAAATAAAGTGAAAATCTGCATTCAATCTGCATTCAGACTACAGTTCTTTCTTTGGATGTGGATAACATTTTCTATCATGAGCCCTTTGTAAGTGTCTTGGATCGTCGATTATATTACTGAGAAGAGCTAAGTCATAGTAAATTGTCACACAATGTTGCTGTTACTATGTACAATGTTGTAATTCTCACTTCACTTTGCATCAGTTCATATAAGTCCAGGTTTTTCTGAAATGTGCCTGCTCATCATTGCTTGTAACACAATGTTCATGTTGCATAAAATTCATATGCCGCGGTTTGTTCAACTATTCCCCAATTGATGGGCATCCCTTCAATTTCCAATTTTTTGCCACCACAAAAAGAACTGCTATAAATATTTTTGTCCATGTAGATTCTCTCACCTTTTTTATCATCTCTTTGGGATGTAGACCTAGTAGTTAGGATATGCACATTTTGGTTGCCCTTTGGGTATAGTTCCAAATTGTTCTTCCTAATGGTTGGATCAGTTCACAACTCCACCAACGGTACATTAGTGTCCCAATTTTCCCACATAGGGGAGTTTTTATCTCTTCCAAGGAGACAATAAGTCTGATAGTTGTGACCCCCTAGGAAAGACTATAACATACAGATGGGCCCCATCAATCAATCAAGCATTCCTTAATAACAAAAGGGGGTGGTCACTAGCCCCATGTAGGTGCTAACCTGCTATTCTTGATGAAGTCAATTATGTTTTCTCCACCTACCCAACTCTGTGCTTTGTTATTTATGTGAAAGCTGTATCCCTACCTCGTGGTCTTTGGTTATTGAGAGAGGCTGTAGACCCAATTTATTGGTTATTGCTAGCCTAACTATTAAAATGATTATATTTGGACTATTGTTTCTCAGTTTACCTTAATTTTCAAATGTAACAAAAGATAGGTTATTATCTTCATGGAGGTAATAGTTAAAGCCTTGACAGTGGATATGTTAGCTAAAGGAGAAAAAAGTTTAAAACAATACCTGGGAGCCCATCGAGATAAAGATGGTTGTAATATAAGGGGACAAAAGTAGGGAGGAAGCTTTAAAGTTAGATGTTCTTTCAGAAGACCAATTCTAGCTATAATTGTAGCTCGTACTAATGAGGGTATTTATGTAGGGGTGTTTGATGCTGGCTTATGATAGCATCACACTAGTATGAGAGGAATTAGCTCTCAAAACAGATCTTTACTGAGAGTTTTCTAGTTTTTTTCAGGAAAAAAATGAAAATGCTTAGGTAGTAACATATCTTTTTCATATCAGTTCTTTGTGATAATTCATCTGGTGACAGTTCATATTACTGTTTACCCATGGCCATCTGCTCTGGCTGGTATTCTGTACTCATGGATTTCAATTGCATTTCACTAATTGAATGCTGACCTCTCTTTCTAGAGACACCAGCTGGCCATGCCAACAAATCCAGTTTAGGAGACATAAGAAATGTTCCCTTCTCACTACCATGTCACTATTGCATTTATCCTGTGCTCAGCTCGACAACTGTGATGAAGGCAGAAGAACACTTTTCAAAGTTGGAAACCGCTCAGGAGCAGGGCTGATGTTTTGGCTTTCTGGAATTCTGTGTATCTACTTAAATAGTTCTAGGTAAACTTCTGGCTGTGGATCCTTATCCCATGTTAGCATAAAATGTGTGATTTACAATTTACCTTAAAAGAACTCATCATGAATATTTTGAATATTTCATTAGTGACTGTGTAGTCATTCAATAAGCATTTATTAAGAGCTTACTAGAAAGAAAAGGCAAAGCCCTCAATGAGCTTACATTCTTGTACATATATGGTATAAATGGAAGGTGATTTCAGAGGGAGGACACTGTTGTGGGGGAGATAGGAGGAAAATAGGAAAGGCTTCTGGAAGATGGTGGGGCTCAAGCTAAGTCTTCAGGGAAGTTAGGAGGTAGAGATGAGGGAGAGTGTTTCAGATATTGGGAGGGGAGGATGTGGATCAGAGTCAGGACTGGTTTGCCTAGCTTAATCCTCATTACAGTAAGATTTGTGAAAGCCCTTTGGAACAATGTTTTGGTTGTCTTTTTTTTTTCCAAATGAAAACCATTTACTTAGCAATAAAGCAACATCAAGGATAGCTTTAACATTACAGTTACTAGATATAATTCGAATGTAGTTTCTTTGATTACTTCATTTTCAAAAAACGGTCATTCATCAGAGTATTTTACCATCCATGTGAGAGATCTTTCTGTGTTGGAAAAAAAAACTCTGGCCAATGTGATTGATCAAGAATGGTTGTGGTTTGTTGTTCATCGGAATGTGCTAGTTGTTGTCAGTTTGATGTTGCATTTGCCTTTTTTAAGCTGTTACTCTAATGACCTGAGTTATAGACACCCTGTTAAGCTGGGGACACAGGGGGAAAAACCTGTTAAAGAAAAAAGGCCCTGCTGGTCTTGGGGGCTTATGGGAATGGAAGTAAGGATGAATACAGAAGTGGAAAAGTTTGAGATTTCCTCTTGTGAGATTTTTTTTAAATCCAAGCTAATAATCCAAGTTTATTAATTTCAGTTCATCATCGATGAGCACTTATCAATTCAACAAATATTTGTTGAACACTTTCAATATGTGCCCAGTGCTAAGTGCTGTGGAGGGTATGAAACACTGTCCCTGTCTTTCAGAAGCTAGTAGTTGGGAAAACACACACACA